AGAAGGAGGACTTGGTTCTGGTCAAATACTTGCCACCTACAGTCATTGTCACCTCATTCACTCCTCAAAAAATACAATCCCAATGGTATTTGGAAGGCAAAATACAGCCAAGTGCCTCCCTAAGAAAGTGAAGAGAAGACAACTTGGGGTCAAAAAAACATGCTGAAGGTATATTCCAGTGCTGAAGGCACTGGAAAAGGCTTCCAATAGAAACTGCAGGAAGCTGGATGCGAAAATAGGTGAAAAGTAACATTAGAATGAAAAACATCAGAATTTTTGGTCTTGAGAAAACCAAAAAGGTCTACCTGAAAGCAAAAATTCCATCAGGTCCCTAAACACAAAAGAGATTCTGCTCATTAACTGCTGACTTAAAGAGTGTTTTCAAGGCTTTGTACGAGGAAGAAAAAGGCTGGCACCACTCTGGGACTTCACTTCTCTCTACTAAAATATGCAACTCTGCCCCTCTTTGTAACACATACATGCATGTATACTAAATATATACTGCTCTTGCAAGCCCTACTGTGAACATAAGACTGCTGTATCTTAATGCAAGAACTCTTTTAAAACAAAGTTAGAGAGTTAGGAAAAATCATTCCAATGAAAAATACAGTCAGTTAATAGATATCATGTAAAAGAAGCTACTTGAAGTTATTAAAAAACGAGACTGCTGCATTTCTTCTGTTTGAATAATCTTTGGTACATGAATCAATTTAAACAGAACTAAACATTGGTCATTCTTCCTATGCACACAGAGGGAATAATAATTCTAAATTTTAATTTACAAATCCTTCATATAAATTTCCCATTTTCCAATGGAATAAGAAATAGAATAAAATAAAGAATAATACAAAAGAAATAAAATATGTGAAAACATTTGTTTCTTTGGTTTTTGAGTGTTTCTAAACTAGTATAATTTTTTCCTCATCAGAAACCCTAGGCTAAAAGGAGAAAAATTATAGAAAAGTAACATGGATTTCTTACTTTTCATCATTTCATTTAGTTTTCATGACAATACAAAAAAATTATGAAAAGAACGTGCATCAGTAAAAAAAAAAAATCTGGTACTGGAGAAGCTATTTTTGATTACAGGAACTTGGGGCATGGAGTGGAGATGTAGAGATAGATAATTAATTTACGTATGGAAAGCAGGTTGACTGTGCAGACCAAGCAAAACCCAATGCCCTTTTCTGAAGCATGAAGATCACTCCTTCTCCCTTCACCCTTACTTTCAGAGGCAATCAACACTGCATGCACAGTTCCCATGCCACTGCCAAGAGCTAGATGCTACAGAAGGAAGAACACCTGTAAAGCAGGACATGTACCTTATTTCATCATGGTACATGTCCAGGACCGAATCTTTAGAGTGTCCAAAGCAGGAAGAGATTGTGCAGAAGACTGAACCTCCTTTCTAGAGCAGAAGACTAAAGATAGTTTACATATTGTGGTGTCACTGCAGGGGTGGGTGTCACTGCACTGATGAATGGCAGCAGCGAAGCCTCTGCAGATGCGGGCAGCTCTGAACAGACTAAGATGCGACACAGCATACAGAATCAGGGCATCAGAAGCATTTGCAACAGAGGAGGGGGCTGACATTAACAAAGAGCACAAGAGAAAAGGAAGAGCAGCAGTGAAGACGAAAGCAAATGCATCAGTGGAGTTGTCCTTTCAAAAAGAGAATTAAAAAAAAATCAAATGGGAACTGAAGGATAACAATCTGTGATGACAGAGAGAAACTTCAATTGGAGAAATGCTTCTGTGGGAAGAGTTGAACAAAAGAAAAAGGCTTTTTTAAGAGAAATATTTCAAATATACAAAACCTCTAGCCAATTGAAATGTTTCAAGCCTAATGAAAAGGAGCCTAAATATAGCAAAAAAGAGCTTGCTTCTATTTGTTTGCAAAAATTATGCTGTGAGAAACTGAAAGTGCAATTCATTAGAAACAGATTAGAAAAGGTAGAACTGATTAATCTGTTTTTATTGCTAAAGCCATGAAAGATGAAAATGGCATAAATTTTTCGATTTGAGGAAAAAATTAGTTTTAACGATTACAGAACTGCTAACTTAGGCAGAGGGCTTTGCATTTTCCAGTGTATTTTTAACCCAAAAGCACTTCTGCTGTCCATGGAAAATCCCTACTAAATAGAGGAAACAATTCAGTAGAGGACTATAAAAATTGAAAAAAAAAAAGATTACTTTTCCTGACCTCTTTGAATCACTATATCGTTATAGAGTTGGATGATAACATTAAATCTACATAACTGGTTAAAAAAATGCATCTCTACAGAAAGGATCTTATACCCAATGCAATTTCTGTAAATCCTTCAATCCTGTATAAATTATTAAAGATATCTTCTTCAAAGACATTGTTGGCATGAGAAATATAACCTGTAACATCAAAACAGCACCACTGTTGTGGGGTTTGACATTATCATAGAACAGAAGAGAAATACAAAGTTGAGAGTATTCAACCTTGAATATACGTTACTATTTTTCGTTGTTCCATGTGAGAATTAGTGTGGAATATGCTATAAACCGTGCTTCTAGAAATCATGAAGGATGTCCTTAACTACAGGCAAGCCCATACTTAAAGAGCTGACATTTTAGGTAGTGCCTGAAGTACAGGGAACATTTTAACTACACTGCTCTTGTTCTTCATTTAGGAACTAATGTCTTCTCACAAACTACATTAAATCACTATTTGATCTATTTCTAGGTAAACTATCAGATTAAGGTGTCTTTTTTTGTTTTTTTCTGCTTCCTTCCTCTTTAAAAAAAAAAAAAAAAGACCACTGGCCCTGAAATCAGAGACCAAGAGCCGAGCATAAACCTTATTCCTTCTAGATCATGCATCCTCTACACAAACAACAAAAAATTCTTTAGACCACATGGCAGTCTGCTGTCACTTAACTGCACAATATAACTGAGGGCATAACTAATGGACAACGGGACTGACTCTGGTTGCCCTTGCGGTAAGGACAATGCTGTCAACACATAAATCACTAAAACATTTTTTTGGCGAGGCCCTTGCTGATTTTTCAAGTCTGAAAACAATATACATTTATTTTCTTCACTGAAGTAAACAAATACAACACAGGTAATGCAGGAAACATATTTGCTGGATAAAAACATGTTATGTCCAGGACCATAACAGCACCTTAAGATTCTTAAATTGTCTAGTGTGCACAGATCTATTAATGAACAATATTTGAAAGGGGAAACCATTTGCTTTCTGTTTTAATGGAACATTTGCGTGAACAAATTAATACATTAAAAAGTAAAAAAAAATGCCTTTTTATAGGAAAACTATTTTTTCTGTCACTCAATTTTAGCAAAATAATAATACTGCCTGTAACATCATCATAATTTTTCAAGAGCCAGTAATCATTTACAGTATACTCCACTACAAATTCACAAAAGAAGTCACTATGTTTCAGGTTACGAATTAAACAGAAGAGAAAGTAAACTCAGAGCTCACAGTACTCTTTCCATCCCTCAAATAAGAACCATGCAAATTAAACAGATGTACTGGTGTCATAGCTAGAAGGGTTAAAGTCATGTGGCCCAGCTGGTGCATAAGTACATACAGACTGCTGTATAAGTTCATACTAAAACCATCTATCCTTATGGTATGCCTCTAAAACAGCCCCGTAAAGTGGATGCCCAGGAAGAATAAGATTAGGGCAACCACACAACAATGCTTCCACGTAACAATGCTTCCTTCAACTATCTTTGTGGCTTCCAAGTATTTTCAGCTCAGAAGACTTTCAGGCTGTTATGGTTTGTCCCCTCCCAACAGACTTCTAAGTATGTCTCCTGGAACCGCAGCTGTCTGGCATCCACAGCACAATTCAGTAAAAATTAGAATTGTAGTGATTCTCCTGACAATTTGATTGGTCAGTCTAAAGATTACCTCAGAAAGTAGCAAGAAAGATTGTTAATTTATCGCTTCTGTCACAACTGTAAATGGTGTATAAATCAACAGTAAATTTTTCCATGGACTAGTTTTTTGGTTGTTATCTGAATACAGAGTCTTTAACTTTCACATTGAGTGTTGTTAAGTAAACAGACTATGGGAGTTATGATTTATTAATATAAACTTATCTCAATCGGTTTACTTTTATACTTCTGCATACTTCAGATTATTTTAATTCTATACATATTATATTATTCTCTGTAATCCAGTCAAATATTCAAAATAGAATGAAGGCATTTCTCTGTTTAGTTTGTGAATTTTAACATTAGAAACACATCCCATTGCATATGTATGCAGAAATACACATACTCAACAAATAATAGTGTAACTGGAGCATATTTTTTCCGATCTCCCACTTCTAGCATTTGTTCTTGTTAGAAAAAATATGTACCGTGTTGCATCATGACTTAAAAGTCAAATTGCTTTACATAACACTACGCAGAAAGAAAATAATTATCTGGTCAAACTGTAAACTGCAGCTGGCCAACCACTTTTTGAATTATATGGAATAACACTCAATACAATTTGCAAAATATTTTAAAGGTAAACTTCTACAGCAGTTCTTAAACAGACTGTTCCCCTTGACCCTTCCTCAGTTGTCCCAGTATTTGTCCCAACTATTTGTGGAGTTGCAAAGGAAAAGAGACCAGGAAACTGATCTAAAATAAAGTATTAACCAAGAAAAAATACTCATTTTTTTCACTATATGAGTTCAACATACCCATTTTGTGTCTTCCGTTCTTTCTTTCTCTCTCTCTCCTTCTCTCTCTCCCTATCTCTCTAACACACACACAAACACACACACACACACACACAGAGGAACAAATGAAGTGGCAGCCTGGAGAAGACAGCAAGGGCCTTCAAACTAACACTGCTACTGAAAAGAAATACTTGGGAAATTACAGCCTTAATCCCATTTTTGCAATCACAGGACAGAAAAGGGAAAGTGATTTTACTGTAGCTACTGATCACCTTTGAGTCAGCTATCCAGGCTCTTCCGCGTCC